CGGGTGAAGATCCAGCAGGAATGCCTGGTTGAACTGGTTGTGCGCGGCCGGGCCGCCATCCTCAACAAGGAACTTCTGAATGGCAGACAACGGGCGGTGCTGAGACTCCTCGACCACATCCATCACTGGCACGACCGTGGAGAGCGTCTCTTGCGCAATCTCCTGGACTTCCCTAGCGACCTCCGCGAGGGTGGGCTTGCGCAGCAGATCGGCCACTGCGATCTGGAAGCCTTGCTTTCGACAGCGCGTCGCTACTTGCATGGCTGTGATGGAATCTCCTCCGAGCTGCATGAGCGAGCTTTCCTGGCCGATCTGTGACGGGTCAATCCCCAATACAGATGACCACGCCAGCTGCAGAGCCACCTCAGCTGGGGTTATGGGGGGCGTCAGGACTTGGTGATCGTCTTCAACAGCCCGGGACGAAGCTGCCTGGTGGTTTGAGCGGACAGCGTCGGCGCGGGCGGTCGACATGTCTACGGTATCCAGGAAGGCCTGGATCTTGATACGATCGACCTTTCTGGACGCAGTAAGCGGAAAGCCGCTGACAATCAGCCAGGTGGTGGGCACCATGAATGTTGGAAGACAGCCCTCGGCAAACTCTCGGATGGACTCCAGCTGATTGCGGCTCTCATCGTCGAGGCGGATCCTGTTCATCTTTCCAGGCTTATTGGCACCGATGTCATGACGCGCAACATGCTGGTCGTCGAATACGAGAACTGCGACGAGCTCTTTGTTTGTAGACCCGTTGCGAGCCTGATGGGTAGTCACCACAACTTTGGAGACACGTTGGTGACTGGCTAAGACGGATTCGACTTCACCCAGCTCAAAGCGCTGGCCACGAACCTTGACTTGGTTGTCTCGTCGGCCGCCGAAGGTGATAGTGCTGTCTGCATTGTATCGGGCCAGATCACCGGTCCGGTACAGATGATGGGAGGAGTCAAGGCCACTTTGTCGTTTGGGCACAAAGGAGGGGGGTTTGATGAAGGAGCTTTTGGTCAGCTCGGGCGCGAGATAGTACTCTCGCGCCACGTTTGGTCCGTCAATGAGCATCTCACCCATGGCACCGATTGGTAGAAGGCGACTGGCGTCTTCCGGGTCTACAATCCATACGGCGCAGCCTACAGGCGTTCCGACCGTGTCAGGATAACGAGCATCAGGTGCGAGGTGTCCCATGGACGCGACGACTGAACCCTCGCAGGGCCCCCATGCGTTGAAGAGCCGCAGTTTGTCGCTCCAAGTCTCAAAGATTCTTCGAGTGATGGGCTCGCCGGCAGAGACAAGCGTCTGGAGACTGGGAAGCACGTCCTCCGGCGCGAGGTTGCGCAAGGCTGTCGGGGTCAGGATGGCAGAGTTGACCTGGGAGGACCTGATGTAGACTCCCAAGCCAGACTCTCGGTCCAGATCCGACGGAATGCACAAACATGCGCCAGCGAGGAGCGAGCCGAAGATCTCGAGCGCACACGCGTCCCAGGCGGGGGCTGAAAACTGCAGAACCGTCGAACTCGTGCTCCAGGCCAACACGTCCGCCCAGGCGGTAAGGGAAGATGCAATTGATCGGTGCTCTAGGACAACTCCCTTGGGTTGACCCGTACTGCCACTGGTGAACAAGATGTATGCGGCCCTCGACGAAGGGGTATTGGCATCCATGTCGGCTGGGAACCCAGGAACCCTGGTCTCATCCTTGGTTCGATTGAGGACAACGGCGTGTGTGATATAGCCCTTTTGAAAATCTTGACGAAGAGAATCGGACGAGGTCAGAATCAACTGAGCCCTGCACTGGCGCAAGATGGCTTCCTTACGGCCATCGGGGAGGCTCGGGTCGATGGGCACACAAGTCCCTCCTATTCTCATGACGGCCAGCAGAGATACTACCAGAGATTGTGATCTCCCAAGCATTACGCATATTGGCTCTTCGACAGTGAACGCCCCCTGCCGGGCAGCCAAGATCTCGTGCGCGAGGTTGTCAACCATGGCGACCAGTTCAGCGTATGTTGCTTCGCCGTCCCAGGATTTGACAGCCAGCGCATTGGGTTGCTCCACCGCCCTGGCAAAGACATGGCTGTGAAGACAGACATCCACAGGCGCGTCTGTTGCAAACCCTCGACTGTTCCAGTCCATGAGCTCTAGTGTATCGCCAAAGTTAAGGCAGGGCAGCCGCTTCAGCGGCGTTGACGGGGCAGAGGTGACAAGCTGTCTCAGGCGGTGCTCGAGCTGCCGCAGGATCCTGTGTACCTGCTCCCGAGCAAGAACGGCTGGGTCAAAGAGTGTCTTCACCGAAACCTGCTTCTCGCCCGGGGCGCAGATGAGGAGAAGACCGTAGGGCTTTGGGGGCTCCTCGGTGTGCGCTGCATCGAGACTCAGGCCCGATGTGCCGAGGCCTGCCGTGTGGGCGCGGTGCACGATGTTGAGCACGCTCTGGAAGCTTGACGCTTGCTGGGCGTCGCCGCTGATATTGCGGATTCTCCTGAGGCCGTACTGTAAGAAGGGACTTGTCGACAGCTCTCGCCTCGAGGCAACCCGTCCCTTGACAAGCTGCTGGATAGTCATGTTCCGCCGCAGATCAACTTGCACGGGGACGGTGGTGATGGTTGGCCCGAAGGTCGTCTCTGCACCGCCCGGCTGGGCTGAGCCGCGTCCCGACAATATGCAACCGAAGGCGACGCTGTCGTTGCTCGTGTAGTCCGAGGCCGTCATGGCCCAGGCGGCCTCTATGTAGGCCGGCATGAGAGCATTTGACGGCAGTGCCGGCGATGAAACCTCGCTGGCGAAGGATATGTCTCGGTTCACGACCTCGTTGGCGAGCACCTGGTGATGGTGGGCAGGGAGAGGTGGAAAAGTGGACGCACCATTCTTGAAGCGGCCTTTCCAGAAGGCGGCGGCTTCCTTAGGGTCGATGGCGGCGCAGTGTTCAACAAAGCCCTTGAAGAGAGCGTGTAAAGGCGGCGCAATGTCCTGATATATGCTCCACGTGTCCGCCATGAGAAACTCCATAACGTGGAAGTCGAACATGACGTGGTGCAGGGTTGTGACCAGTCTGGTTCCGCCATCTTCAGAGGTGCAGGAGACAAGAGCAAATCTGATCAGGGGCGTGCCCAGGTCGGTCTTGATCGAATTATTCCATTCCAGGAACCGTTCGAGATTTGTCTCGGTTGACCGGAGGACGGGCTCTCCCCCTTTTGCCACAGCCTGCAGCAAACCGGCGCCATCACAGTCGACGATTCTCGTCCTCAAGACCTCGTTCGAGGCCACGACCTGATCTATGGCATCGCATAGCCGGTCCACGTCGACGGAAGGGTCAATTTTGTGAACAATAACGTGGATGTATAGAGATGAGTCCACCATCATCCCCGACTGCAGCGGCGTGCATGGGTAGACATCTTGGATGTCTTTTGGGGAAAGCTGGCATTGCTCGCAAATCTGGGCCAGGATGGCGGGATCGTCGAGGAGGCTTGATTTTGTCATGCTCATATAGGCCAAACTCGGAAGCAAAGAGTGGATGATCAGAATTTTTTCCTCGCAAACAGACAGATTCTGGATTATCTTCTTCTTTTTGTTTAGATATCTCGTCAAACGGTGAGGTGGTTGATATCTTCATGTCTTATGAGAGACAGCCCCAAGACATCGAACGTAATCAAAGAGTCTGAAGGCAATGGCTGACCGACACGAAGACCCCGTTCCGGCCAAGTATCGTGTACTTGCTTGCCAGGTACCTTCGGTTGCACTGTCGCCTAGGCGCCTCTACTACATCCAGGGTCGTACTTTAGGTTACGAATCATTTATACGACTTTGAAGCAAAAAAATCGCCATTGAGCGGGACTTGGTGCAACGCTGACGTTTGCTGACCGTTGTTCTGCGGCAAAGACGGCCGGCATGTCATCATTCTTCAGGTAGGGATTCTTACAAAAGATCATTCTTCATCTCGGCCTGCCACGTTTTGGAAAGACTGTTCCGTAATGGTCCTTGTGGCCTCGCTTAGACTTGAGCTCTCCTGTTGGTCAATGGATATCGGCGGAGTGCTGTACCAGTGGTCGTACGATGTAAGACTTATCAATCCGGCTTGACCAGCAACCTGGTTCGAAGTGGAAGCTGCAAGGGGCGGCTCGGCTGCATGGCTCGGAAGCCGGATGGACAGAGGACGGGAACTAGGGCGGGTTAATCTCTTGTCGATCTGACTGGGGTTGGTTGTACTAGCTATAAATTGCATATAAACGTATTGCTATATCGAATGAGTCTGATTCAATACTGTTTAGACAGGGATGGAGCAGGATGCGTATTCTTGTTCGGGTTGTTTTCCTTTACCAAAGTCCCATGTGGCGGTGGATCACCGCGTCCGCAAGAGGATGTTCGTATCTTCAGCGGAACCTACGCAGGCTGCAGGCACGTCAACTCCACTGGAGCCAGGCTTCCTCGATATACTGTTACATTTAGATAGTTACTTGACTGCAAGCAAAGGGTCTTTTGTTACTAAGCGACAAGAAGGGTTCCCAATGTTACAGCTGACACATTTGTCACGTACGATCAATGTACCTATATCCAGTTTGCTTCTAACGGTTTTCATGCTTTCGTATAGCAGGTCACCTGTGTCTAATTGACTTTGACAACTTGTTGATGGGTGCACCCTCGGCCTGTGATGCATGTAAGCCGTTTCCTTCAGTCCAAAATGGAGTCAGGTGGAAATGGAACCGCCTCGCGTGCGAGCTTTGAATGCGTACGCGGCGACAATCAGTCCACCAACCCGATCTTCATCGGATCTGTGTCTCTCGTATAAACCAGAGTACCCAGTATCCCATTGGAAAGCAAACAAAACCACAGACACAAAGACGAACAGGCATACTCGATCCTGATCTTTCTCTCAAGAGTCTGTCTGACCAAAGACCCCTTCTTTCATCAACTCTTTCATCAACTTATTCTTCCAAACGACGTGTCATCTTGTGTGCTGTCGTCAACAGACTAGACCGCTTCTATCCCTCTCTCTTGTATGGTCTGGTAGTAGCATCATCATGACAACTTCAACCTCACCACCTGTGCCGATAGCGGTCATCGGTGTCGCCTACAGGGCGCCAGGCGTGGGGAGAAAGGGGCTCTTTGACTTTCTGTCCGAGGCCAGGTCGGCCTTCTCCCGCGTTCCCAAAGACCGTTTCAACCATGAGTCGTTCCATTACAACGACTCTGCCAAGCCGGGCGCTCTCTCGGCCAAAGGAGCCTACTTCCTACCTGACGATATTTATGCCTTTGACGCTCCCTTTTTCAACATCACCGCCGAAGAAGCCGTGTCAATGGACCCCCAAATTCGTGAGCAAGATTTCCTATCTCCTTCAAACGTTCCATGTCCCGCGAACCTCAGATTTCGTTTTGAAACTCGCGTCTGAATCGCATCAGCCGCAGACCAACACTGACACGCCGTACAGGTGTGCTGCTAGAATGTGCATTCGAAGCTGCTGAGAATGCAGGACTGCCCCTCGACAGGCTTTCAGGATCCAAGACGGGTGTCTTCTCGGCCCAGGAAGAGGCAGAGTATGGCCAGCAGATGATTGAAGATCTCCCAACATCGACAAAGTACTGCATTACTGGCAACGCGGGCTGCATGGTGTCTAACCGCCTCTCTTACTTCTTCAACCTCAGGGGTCCGAGTATTTCTCTCGACTCCGCCTGCTCCAGCAGCGGTTACGCGGTGCACATGGCCTGCCAGAGTCTCCGCGCCGGCGAGTGCGAGACGGCCTTCGTCGGCGCATCGTCGCTGATGGTCAACCACCACACCATGTCGCAGCTCGACACCCTGGGCGCCCTCTCGTCCGACGGCAAGTGCTTCTCCTACGATAGCCGCGCAAACGGCTTCGGAAGAGGAGAGGGCGCCTCCTGTTTGATCCTGAAGCGGCTGGATCAGGCTATCGAGGCAGGCGACCCCGTACACGCCGTCATCCGCAACTCGGCGGCCAATCACTCCGGCCGCACGAGAGGAATCACGTTGCCGTCGCAGGTAGCTCAGGAGGAGCTGCTTTGGCGCGTGCATCAGGAGGTCGGCCTCAAGCCGGCCGAGACGGATGTGGTCGAGGGCCACGGCACAGGAACCCCCGTTGGGGACCCCATCGACGCCTCTGCCGCGGCGAATGTTATCGGAAGGGATCGAGAGGGGAGGAAAGTCTACCTCGGCTCGTTGAAGTCCAACTTTGGCCATTTGCATAGCGCTAGCGGCCTGCTCTCCGTCATCAAGGCGACGATGATGGTCCGGCTGGGCACAATCTTCCCCAACGCGGAGTTCGAGACGATGAATCCCAAGATTGACTCGTCCAGGCTCGAGGTCGTCCGCCGTCCCACGCCGTGGATGTCTCCCGAATCAAGGCCTAGACGGGCAGTGGTCACTAATTTCGGCTTTGGCGGGAGCAATGCGGCCGTGTTGATTGAGGAGTACAAGACCAACGAGAACCCCTCGTCGTCGCTCTCGTCGCTGACGACATCGTCTCAGTCTTCTCAAATGCTTTTTCCCATCTCCGCGCAGTCACTTGCCTCCCTTTCTAGCTATCAATCACAGCTAGTATCCCATCTCGAGAAGGTTTCCGCTGAAAACTCGGTTGGGACCTGCTCTTCCTCCTCATACCTGGGTGACCTGGGCTACACCCTCGGCCTGAGACGGACGCACTTCGCCCACCGCATGGCCCTTGTCGCGGGATCTCTCTCAGAGCTGCGTGAGCAACTTGTCTCCCCTTCACTATCCAGCACGGGAGGCAGAGTGGCCGCGGGCCAGAAGCCTGCCCCATGCTTCGTCTTCACTGGCCAGGGTGCCCAGGCCGCCCGCATGGCCGTAGGTCTCGGTCCCCAGTACCCGGTGTTCGCGAAGGCGATGGAAGACGCTGAGAAGCAGCTCCGAGCGTTCGGCGCGACGTGGTCGCTGGCCGAGGAGCTGGCCAAGTCAGAAGGTTCACGCATCAACGAGGCGGAGATCAGCCAGCCGGCCTGCACCGCCGTTCAACTGGGCCTGGTTGAGCTCCTCCGCAGCTGGGGCGTCTCGCCGATGGCCGTGGTAGGCCACAGCTCGGGTGAGATCGCCGCCGCCTACGCCGCCGGACTCTTGTCATTCAAAACGGCCTTGGCCGTCGCCTTCTTCCGCGGTCGGTCTACCGTCGAGCTGCTGGCCCAGCAGGGAGAGAACGGCGGCGAGGGCGGTGGGATGCTGGCTGTCGGCGCGGACGTCAACACGGCTGACGAGCTTCTCCGACACACGGCCAGCGTCGGTCGTGCTGGGATTGCTGCCATCAACAGTCCTAACAGCGTCACTCTATCCGGAGACGTGGCTGTGATCGACGCCGTCGAGCGCATCGCCAACGCTCAGGGTATCTTCAACCGCAGACTGAGAGTCAATGTTGCGTACCACTCCCACCACATGGAGCGTGTTGCCAGTTCGTATGTTGCCGCCATTGAGCCGTACTGTGCGGAGGATTGCAAGAGCCGGCTGGCGCTCAATGGCGACTACGAGAAGAAGAGAGGGTCGGTGCCCCTTTTCTCGTCTGTGACCGGCCAAGCCGAGAGCGCGGAAACCATCACTTCCGCGCAGTATTGGGCCAAGAACCTCGTCAGTCCCGTTAGGTTCTCCGAGGCCGTCACGCTTGTGGCCAATGAATCCTCGGCAAACATGCTCGTCGAAATCGGCCCGCATGCCGCACTCAAGGGGCCCATCAACCAGATCTTGCAGTCGTTAGAGCAGGAGAAGAAGAACGACAGTATCACGTATGTTCCCTCGCTTGTTCGCGGCACGGATGACGTCAAGGCTGTGCTGCAACTCGCTGGCCGTCTGTATGCCATGGGACTCAGCATCGACTTTCTCGCCGTTAACGGAACGGGGCCGAAGAGTGGTCACCGCGTCTTGGCTGATCTCCCTTCATACGAGTGGGACAAGAAGGCGAGATTCATCCACCGATCGCCCGTCTCGGTCGGCAAATTCCACTCCGGCCACACCTTCACGCCCCTCCTGGGCTGGAAGATGGCCTCTCACGGCCGGGATCATGTCTTCCGCCAGGTCTTCACGCTGGACGAGTTGCCTTGGGTTCGGGACCACAAGGTTGTCGGTGACGTTCTTTTCCCCTTTACGGGCTTCTTGAGTCTGGCGGTGGATGCTTTCCGATCCATCACCACCACCACCGACGATCCTGCCACGTCCTTTTCCATCTGCGAAATGTACATCGAGCGCGGCTTGCACATCAAGGAAGAGCAGCGCGTTGATATCTGCACCAAGCTGAGACCCGTAGAGACGGGAACGGGTCACCTCTCGTCTTCCACGTGGGCTTTTGAGGTCATGACTTGGGGCGAGCAAACAGGCTGGGTCACCCACGTGCACGGCAGAATCGAAGCCGGCTCGGAGGGGGAGGAATGCCTCGGTGCGTCTGAAAGCCCGGTGTGGCAGGCTGCCGAGAAGATTCTGCAGGGAGTCAACGCTGGCGAGCTGAACGAAGCTACCGCTCTGTTTGGCTATGATACTCTCGACCGCTCCGGTGTCTGTTACGGTTCGAGCTTCAAGAACATCTTCGAGATGTGGAGATCCCCCGGCCAGACGGTTCATCGCACACGTCTTCGGCAGACCAACGACGAGGAGCCGCTCTCCATCCCGAAGCGCGGATCCGCCATAACGGTCGACCCTCCGATGCTCGACTCCGTGCTGAGCTCCGCCCTTCTCGCCGTCGGCGACGGCCTCCCGGAGCCGCGCCCGGCTTTCGTGCCGACGTACGTCCGCCGGATGCAGCTCTCCAACGCCATCCCCTGCGAGCCAGGCCAGCTCTTCACCACCGTCTCCCATCGCAAGACCTTTCAGGAGAAGACAGGCCGTTCAGATGTCAGCATCGTCGTGTGGGCCGATGGCCCGCAGGGTTCCAACACGCGCGTCCCCTGTGTCGAGATGGAACTCACGTACCAGCGTATCAACGATGCCGGCCAGGAAGGCGAGGAGCAGGTCAAGCAAACTCTGCCCCGCGGTTATCAAGAGGTGTTGGTGCCGCATGTCGACCTCTCTGATAATAAGGTTCTCTCGGAGTCCATCATGGACCGTTCTTGGACTCCGGATGAGCTGCTCCCCCGACACAAGCACAATGCCGTCGGCCGGCATTTTCTCAAGCTTGCGATCCAAGTCGCCGCCGGCCTCGACGAAGACACGCTGCCAAAGCACCTGAAGGCCTTTTTGGCATGGGCAGAGGTCCAAGTCCGCGATGCCGATGACGAGCCGGAAGCCAACGCTGAATTGCTGCGGGAGGTTGCCAGAGACGATGCCTTTGGCGAGCTCATCTGCGCCGTGGGCAACGCGATCCCCCAGATCCTGCGCGGCGAGGTCGAGCCTCTGGAGGTTATGATGAAGGACGGCCTTCTCATGAAGCACTACGACGACATCCGCACCATGGCCAGGGGCAACCAGGCTCTCGCCAGGTACATCGCCAACCTCGGCGAGCTCAACCCGGACCTGAGGATCATCGAAGTCGGCGCCGGCACGGGAGCAGCCACCACCAAGGTCCTGCAGGCGTTGTCCGCCGAGGAGCCGGAAGAGGAAGACAATTTCTCCGCGTATACATACACGGACATCTCACCCGGTTTCTTCGATGCCGCGCGCAAGAAGCTGGCGAGATGGCCGCAGGTGACCTACACCAAGCTCGACATCAGCCAGGACCCGGCCGAGCAGGGCATCGAAGTGGGCACCTACGACGTCGTCATCGCGTCCAATGTACTGCACGCGACGCAGGATATTGAGGAAACCGTCCGCAACATCGGTAGCCTTCTCAGGCCCGGCACTGGCAAGCTTGCCATTGTCGAGTCGCTGCCGGACAGCTGCGACGCCGCTTTCCTCCCGTACACCATCCTGCCGGGCTGGTGGCTGACGGAGGATAGCTGGAGACAGGGGAACGACGGCCCGCTCATGTCACAGGAGACTTGGGACCGGCTGCTCGTCACCCTCGGCTTCAACGGCGTCGAAGGTGCTGTGGCGGACTGGCCAGGTGCGGATGTGTGCATCGTCAAGACGATGTGGTCGACCAAGTTGTCCGATGACATCCAAGATGACGAGGAAGAGTCCGACGCGGCTGGAGAGGTGACGATCTGTGGCACCATCATCGAGGACCAGCGGCAGCTTGCCGGGGCCGTCCAGAGCAAGCTGGAGCATCTCAAGCCACAGATGATCAAGTCCATTCCAGAGCCCCAACAAATCAGTGACATGTTCTGCATCTTCCTGGACTGTGGCGAGACCAGCTTCCTCGCCGACGTGGCCACCGAGGAGGCCTTCGCGGCACTTAGGGCCATGGTGCTTGACACACGCGGTCTCCTCTGGGTGACCCCCGACGCTGACAGCCCCGAGTTTGCTCGCGTCCAAGGCCTGCTCCGCACGCTGCGGCTGGAGGATCCGACGAAGAAGCTCCTCTGGCTCAGCAAGGCACCAACCAGCGACCCAACGCAGACGGCTGAGCTGGTCGACAAGCTCACCGAGAGACTTGTCAAGGACTCTTCTTCGTCGCCCGCAGAGCTCCTCGAGCAGGACTTCGTGTGGCAGAACGGCATGTTCCAAGTGCCTCGCCTTCGCAGACTCCCCGAGACAACGAGGACGTTCGCCATCGAAAAGGGGCTTTCGGTCCGACGGGAGCAGAATCTCTGGGAGGGCTCAAGCCCCAACAGCGCCCTCTTCATGACCATGGACACGCCGGGCGTCATGGACTCGGTGTACTTCAAGCGCCACGACCTGATGGCCCCGGCCGAGAAGCCTTTGGGCGACGACGAGATCGTCGTCAAGGTGGACGCTTGCGGCATCAACTTCCGCGACGTGCTCGCCCTCCTCAACACCATACCCTGGAGTCTGCCGGGCCGCGAAGGAGCGGGCACCGTCGTCGCCGCCGGCGCAAACGTCGCCTATGTCCGGCCGGGAGACAGTGTGTTCTACATGATCGCCCAGGGCGGCCTCGCGACGCATGTCCGCATTCCCGCGGCACACGCTTGCAAGCTGCCGTCGGGTCTCTCCCCCGCCGAGGCGGCCTCGATGGCTGTCGCCTACGTCACCGCTCTCGTGTGTCTTGATGACGTCGCCAGGCTCCGGCCGGGCGAGTCTGTACTCATCCACGCGGCCTCGGGCGCCGTCGGCCAGGCGTGCGTGCGCATTGCCCAGAGCATGGGCGCCACCGTCTTCGCCACAGCCGGGTCTGAGGAGAAGAGGACGTTTGTCTACGAGAAACTCGGGTTGCCGCGTGAGCATATCTACTCGAGCCGTAAGCGGGGTTTCGCTGCTGGCATCCTCAATGTGACGGGCGGCCGCGGCGTCGACGTCGTCGTCAACTCCCTCAGCGGCGAGCTGCTTCGGGACACATGGTCAATCGTCACCGAGTTTGGTCGCTTCGTCGAGATCGGGAAGAAGGACATTCTGGCCAACTCGCACTTAGGCATGAGGCAGTTCGAGCGCAACGTCTCCTTCTTCGCCGTGGACCTCGTGCCGTACCTCTCGCACAAGTCGGACAGCATCCAGGCCTGTCTGGCAAAGATGGTAAGCCTGTTCGAAGCCAAGGTTATCCAGCCCATCCAGCCTATCCATGAGGTGCCCGTCTCCGATATCGTCTCCGGCTTCCGTGCTCTGCAAAGTGGTCAAAACATCGGCAAGATTGTCGCTATCATGGGGAAAGATGATAGGGTCGTGGCAGACGTGGCATCGCCGCTCCGCCGGGACGACGGCAGTGATTTGCTTCGCAGTGATGCGACGTATCTCATCACTGGTGGAACCGGTGGCATTGGCAAGTCCCTCGTGCCTTGGATGCTGGAGAACGGTGCGTCTAACGTCGTCGTGCTCGGCCGGTCAGCCACCACCAACACCGAAGTGGCGAAGCTGATCAGCGAATACGACTCGCCTTCAACGGGCGTCCGCGTACGTGCTGTGGCGTCTGACGTCTCCTCTCGAGACAGTCTCCTTGCCGCGTTGGAAACAGTCAAGGACCTCCCTCCCGTCAAGGGCGTGATCCACGGCTCAATGTACCTCCGCGACTCCATCTTCTTCAACGCTTCCTTCGACGACTGGAAGGCCATCAACGGCCCCAAGATCGACGCAGCTTGGAACCTTCACCACCTCCTCCCCGATCTTGATTTCTTCGTCGCCCTCGCATCCGGGGCTAACGTCGTCGGCAACGTCGGCCAGTCCATCTATTGCCAAACATCATCCTTCCTCGATGCCTTCGCCCAGTGGAGGAGCCGCACCGGCAAGCCAACCATTTCCATCAGCCTGCCTGTCGTGGATGACGTCGGCTACGTCATCCAGCAAGGTATGCGTGAGCAGCTCCTCGAGAAGCTGGGCTTCTACATCTCCATCGCCCAGGTCCACACTGTCATCAAGGGCGCCATCATCGGCCCGTCGTCAGGCCTAAACATCGACTCGCGAGCCATTGCGTTCGTGCTCTACGACTCGCCCCAAGGCAAGTCACATGGGCTGGAAGAACGGTCGCGCTACCTGTCCGCTCTGCGTCAGAAGAAGTGGAGGGAAAACAAGCACGCGTTGGACGGTCATGGCGACGGCGAGGTCGCCGCCGGAGGAGAGCTGAGCCTTCTGGACGCTCTGACCGGGAAGGTCTCGTCTATTACGATGATGAGCCGCGAGGACGTGACGCCGACACGCAGTCTCATCGAGTACGGCCTGGACTCGCTCGTGTCGGTGGAGCTGCGGAACTGGATTAAGAGAGAATACGGAGCTGATTTGGCTCTTACGCAGATCGTTGGCGCCCCTGATTTGCAGACGTTGGCGGACGTGATTGTTACTCGTCAGAAGGCGTGAATAATATCAAATATCGATTTAGTTGTAAATACGGAACTGGGTGCATGTAAATCATCATGGCCTTCACTTGATAGACTTTTGTATTTCACACTTGGCTTGAACACTATCCTTCAAGGTACAAAAGAAAAAGTATCAGAGGTAAAACACGAAGTAAAATAGTCGCAGGAAACAAAATGCATTTACGTTCTAAAGGATACTAAGCTTCGCGTGAGACGCGCACAATAAATCTTGTAGACCATTATGCTGTTTTCCTATCGGTGCGCAGCGGATGATACTCCATTTCTACCAGACCGCGGTGGGTCTATGTGTGGTTTTCCAGCAATGTTAGACGGGTTGTTGGTAATTCGTGCTATGATCCAAGGAGTAGGCATGCGTGTTGCACGCGGTTCGGCCCTTCAGGCTTCGCCAACAATTTCTCTGAGTGAAGTATCTATTATTTCAGAATGCCACTGCCATTGCATCCTTGTAATATGACGATATCTGTGTTCATCAGCACCTGACGTGCGAGTAATCCCTGTCAACTCGCGTTGCTCACCCATGCCGAGTCCTTTTTTCCCCCATGGTTTTTGCTATTCTGGCTAGAATTCCGATAATATGGGGCATACAACCTGGTCATAGATGCCTTGAAACCAGGAACTTTCGGAGGTCGGCTAGTATGGAGACCGCCTGATTTCTGAACAAAAGATCAAAACAACGTTGCAGTCGGGGTCGAAGATGGCGCACCCGACATGGGTTCCGGGGACTGCAGAAGGTGAGTCCACACCATGTATCCGTAACAGAGCCACAAATGCAAACAAGGTGTGCCCGCAGGCGGGAACCTGCTACCTATACGAACATATGAAAAACGTTAGAAGAAAAATGATGCGAACGGTGTACGAATACGCAGGGTTTCAATGTGACTCGGCACCTATCTTGCTGACATGCATCAAAATGTGACGTGGAACACCAGACCCATAGAAACATCCATGGGGGCAAGGCCAGAACATGTCACAAACGGATTTTCGAGGTGTTTGGCATAATTACGGTTACAAGAATCTCAACATCAGATTAGAAAACATCAAAGGAAGGCTTGCTTGCGGTCACCTTACTCCATCATTTTCTGTGGCAAAGAACAGCACACCTCTCGTCACCTGTTACTTACCGTACCCCTTGTTGGAAATTATGGACACCCTGGAAGCTGAAGACATTCATGCCATCGAGCAGGTCTTGCGCAGTCATGAGTCTGTCAAAGACGCGGCCGTGTTATCTGTACAAAACTACGGGGAGAATATGCTCGTGGGCTTTGTGACGCTGCACGACCAAGCCCTCGAGAACCAGATCCGAACCCTTGGCCAGTCCGGCGACGAGTTCGAAGCGGAGCAGGTGCAGCTGTGGGAGTCGGTCTTTGACCGGCGCGTCTACGCCACTATCGACGACGAAGCGCGGCGGGAAACTATCGGACGCGACTTCACCGGCTGGATCTCGGCCTACGATGGCAGCTTGCTGGACAAAACCGACATGAACGAGTGGCTGGACGATACCATTGATATGATGGTCACGCACGGCATTCGCGAAGGCCCGGTCAGCATTGTTGAACTCGGGACCGGCTCCGGCATGATTCTCTTCAGTCTCGCCCGCCATATTCGTTCCTATCATGGAATCGAGCCGTCCCGCAGGGCCGTCGACTTTGTCTCTGCGACGGCTCAATCGATCCCTGAACTTGCGGACAGGGTGCATGTATACGAAGGTACGGCAACGGACTTTCATCTGCTAGGGTCACCCTTCCCCGACTTGGTCGTCATCAACTCGGTTGCCCAGTACTTCCCTAGCCAGGCCTACCTGCTGGAGGTGGTTGAGGGCATCCTGAAATTCGGCTCCGTTCAGACAGTTGTGTTTGGGGATATCCGATCGTTTGCTCTTCAGAAGGAATTTCTGGTCACCAAGGCACTTCATGCCACGGGCGGGAAGACAAGCAAGGGCGCTCTTCGCGAAAAGATCTCGGAGCTGGAGCAAGCCGAGATTGAATTCATGGTTGACCCGGCGTTCTTCACCAGCCTGCCTGGCCGGTTTCCAGGCCTCATTGAGCATGTCTGCATCATCCCGAAAAAGATGAAGGCCACCAACGAGTTGAGCTGCTATCGCTACGCTGCGGTTTTGTACATTGCGAGTAAAAGCAAACAGAGCGGAAAAGATCAGCAGCAGCAGCAACTTGCCAGCGACATTGGGGAAGTTGCGGATGACGAATGGATCGACTTCGTGGCTCACGGACTGGACCGCGCAACCCTCTCCAATCGCCTAGCCACCGAAAGCCCAGATATCATGGCTGTCAGCAACATTCCCTACAGCAAGACTGCCTTTGAACGGCACTGTCTCGACGCGCTCGCGGACGGAAAAGGGCAAGAAGAAGACGCGGGTAACGATTCTGCGTGGCTCGCGTCTGTCCGCCAACGCAGCCAAGAGTGCCCCTCGCTCTCGGCCTTGGACCTGGCAAACATCGCCCGAGAAGCAGGCTACCAAGTCGAAACTAGCTGGGCGAGGCAGTTCTCGCAGCGTGGTGGCCTTGACGCCATCTTCTACCGTGAACAGCAGCCATCCGATACCGTAGCTGGGAGTGGTCGTGGTGGGGGCAAAGCTCTGTGGCGGTTCCCGACGGACCATTCGGGTCGAGAGCCTAGCGCCTTCAGCAACCAGCCACTTCAGCAGCAGGCCAGGCAGACGATCCAACGACAGCTTTTCGAAACGCTGGAAGATCAGCTTCCGATGGAGTCAGTGCCCGAGGATATAGTCATCCTGAGCGCTTTGCCAAGTACTTTGGATGGCAAAGTGGACCGCCAGGCGCTGTCGGAAAGGGCAATTTAGTAGAATGGCCCATGAAAGGGCAGCTGCTTCTGGTTTTTCCAGGACCATTTGGTCCAACTATCTCTCGTCCAAGTCTCGGGTTACTGGGTAAATATACAGGTATCTGTCGGTATCTACCAGTGATGGAGTCGTCTAGCATTGGTCCGCTGACCGTTGCTGACCGTTGCCGACCGTCATTTTCTCGTCCGCACGACGGACAGACGGGCTGAGTAGCATTGGCTGCTGAGCCAAGGCTCGTGGTTCAAGGAATCTAGTTGCTAATATTTCAAATGAGTCTGTTGCCCTCAGTGTTGGAATGTGATCAGTGTTTAGCAAAATACAATGTCGACGTTCGTACTTTGATAATCACTGCGCATTATCATGGAAGCCAGAATACTTTGGTGTTTTTTGCATTCTTGCCGGAACTGGGCGTCATATAACCGTAATAGTATACGGCGCCTCAGCAATCGCTTGCTGACTAGATTAATTTTGGAGACTCAGAGTCCATCAGCACCATTGAAATTATGCCAGCCCTGAGCTTGTATTCTTTTGAGTGTTTTACAGCTGTGAACTTTAGTAGCTAACGCAAAAAGTTGGACTTTGTTTGCGTGCGCCTCCAGGCGGCAAACTGCGAAGAAGCAGTTAGAAGGGAAGAAAGATTGGCATTTGGTTTCATTGTTTTCTACTAGCCTTCTCACCTAAAATTCAAAAACTCTTGGAAACCACATTCAAAATTTCCTGTGCTCATGTAGACTTTCTCTTGCGAGTTATGGGCGCGCAGGTCATTAGGAATAAAGGTATATTATAGGAGTAACTATTTAGAAAGGTAGTCTATATTATAAGCTAATATCCATACACATAGCTTATATAATATTATACGTTATATAATAAGTAGTGAAGCTATAGCTTAGATTAAAAATATTATAATATACCCCCTTAGACGTTATAAATAGCTAAAAAACCTATTCTTTACTACTATATACTTAAAACTTATTTAAATTTATTATATAAAATATATAAAAATAGCTTTTAAAGTAATAAAATAAATAGATAAATAAAATTAGTATTTATAGTTATATTTATAAAATATAAAAATACTTAATAAGGTTATTTAGTTATTAAAATAAGTTATAAATATACTTAAAATTAATAAAATTTCTAAATATAGTTAGTATAAGCTATTAAGTATAAGTAGTAGAAGTAAATAAAACCTTTTATACCTTTTTATAATTAAATTTTTTTTCTTTAAACTACTTATAATTTATAAAAATAAGTTTTTAAAAATCCTAAATTACCTATTATAATACTTATATACTATTATAATAATTATTAGATTATTTAATATAATTATTAGAACCTTTATTAATTATTTTATAAATTAGAATTTATAATACTTATTAATAAAAAAAAAGCTACTACTTATATATATAAAGTATATAAATATAAAAAAGCTATTATTACTACTAATAGCCTTCTTTCTATCTCTAATAATAATAATAATAATAAGGAGTTTATTATACTTTTTAGCTTCTCTATATTTCTCTCCCCTTACTTCTTTTATCTTATTATTAAAAAAGTTAAGGATAAAGGTAAGTTTAACTCCCTATATATATACTATTTAGAGTAGTTTTAAGTATTAGAAGTATTATACTAATTATTTAGAATAGCTTTCTAAAGATCTCTCTACTATAAAGTCCCTTATAAGGAGTATTTTAGGTTTACTTTTATAGGTAAGATTTAAAGTTACTATTATAATTTTATATTTATTCTTATTAGTACTTCTAATATAAAGTAATATAAAAAGAATTAATATATTTTATATACCTCTACCTCTTATAGTTATTTTTATATCTTTTTAGTATTTATTATAATACTTTTTATTTATTACTTTTAGGAAGTTATAAAGTTTAACTCTATAGGTTAAGCTATAAATATAATATTTTTTTAGAAATATTTCTTAATTTTAGGGGTGTTTTTTATATTTTAGAAGCGTTTTTTAATTTTTTACTAATTTTAAATATAAGATCTTAATTACTAGAGAGCTAATATCTAGTATACTTTTACTTTTATTTAAAGTAGTATTATTAAAACCTCTACCCTTATTATACTTACTTTTATACTCCTAACTACTTCTACTTTTATACTTACTCTTTTTCTAGCTCTTATTATACTTATTATACTTA